TATATATACTCAGTAAATCACACATCACACACACACGCATGCGCGCGCGCGTACATGCACACATGAGCCATTCTGCTCTATTAAAATTTAATTCAAATGATAAAAAAAAAGAGTTGTTCTTTTTTCTAAAAATTCTAAACTATAGTTCTGAATTAGTGCAATAAACTAGAATATGAAACTATATAGCTGTCTCACTTTAACTTGTGTCGGTGTACACCAGTTGGAAAACTTGAGATGGAAAAAGAACAGATCTTAGTTTCTAAATCTCTCGTCTTTCAATCTCAATTTTTTTCTTAAAATTCTGACTACTACTTGGTACTTTCTCTAAAAAAATTCTTTTTATGATAAAACAAATTCAGCTCTTTGAATGACATAACAAAAATTCTTAATCAGTATTTTACCAATAAACAAAGAAACATGAAAGAATGGCATTAAGAGACTATCAGTAGTTATAACAGAATAACTCTCTTATATATTTCAATAAATTAATGTTTATAAAGTTTTTTACTCTTTCTCAAAATAAAAAAAAATCGAAAGAACATTTGGAACAATCAAATACAAATACAAATTAAAATGATCAATTAAAAAGATTATTTTCTATAACAATGTACAATATTTTGATATTTAACTAAACATTTTGTTTATTTAGGGCTCAGAATAAATGTCTTACCTTTCAACAGAGATCTAGAATACAATTACAACGTAACGAAAACTATTACGATATTCAGAGATCCTCTCCAAGTGACGCAATATACTGCATCAATAACATGTCACACAGAGGATAGTTATAATTCTCTTCTCTGTCTTTTGCATGATATCGATATTATCTCAACTTTGATATTTCAAAGTCTCAACACTACAAACGAGGTCGCACATGAGCAATACAAGACCAATGACGATTGGTTTGTAATTAAATTTAATAATAATGGCTTAGAGAAATTATTTGTGAATTCAACCACTGAAAAAAAAGATTTGATTAAAGGGATCGCTTTTCAATTTCACATTGGTAATGAAATAACCCCTAAGTTCACTGCAAAAGAAAAATTAGCAATAGGCTATTGCATGACGTTTTTCGATGTAAATGCGACAACTTACGAATATAATTCCGAGAAAATTTTGGAAAATCAAATTATATTATTAAGCCATCGATCCTCTTATGAAAAAACCCCATTATATGAAGCTCACGAAAGACATGTGCATATACGTATTAAGAAGGTCAGAAAGGACTGCCAGTATTCCTTGCCATTTTTTGACTTTTTGAATGGAATGAAAGTGGTGTGTATATATATATACTTCTTTACGTATGCTCTATATTTTTATAACTCTCGTTTCTTAGAACAAATAGAACAAAAATAATTATTTAAGAACAAAAAATAATTATTTACGTAGTTTCAATGATTTTCTGTAATTAATTCTTTAATGTTTCAATAATTTTTTTACTATTGAGAGAAGAAAAAGAACGCATTAATAGAATTATATAATAAATATTTACTGTCCTCAATAATTCAATAAATTTTTTTATTGGAAATACTGAATTCAGCACAATATTGCCATATTTATTTAACAATTTCAACATTTCTGTATAAAATTAATTTTTTCACTGATAAATCTTACAGTCAAAATATATTCATACGATGGAAATAATCGATGATAAATTAAATATTTCCACCATAATGGAGGTACAATTACCACCTGACCCATGGAATCCTGAAGGGACACCTGTATTTAGGGAAATAACGCAGCTTAAGCTAATTAAAATTACATCACCTAGAACTAAAGTTTTTGATGATCTTGTTAGAAATAAATATGAATGGATTGATCTATTGAAGTGATTTACTGTAATCAAATATATCAAACTTTGAAAACACACACACACACACACACACACACACACACACACACACTATGTTATATTGATATATAAATTTTTTGCTCAATTATTCATATTCAATTTCGTTGTATTTCTTAATTTTTCTAATCCTAAATGATTTACTAATATGAGTTAAATATCTGAAATGTTATAAAAATATTATTAAATAGAATTTTAAAAAATTATAATTTTCTTTTCTTTTTCCTTTAAAATTTATGATATTTGTCATGTTATTAAATATAAAAGAAAATATGATTCTCTAAAATATATTATACATTTGAGAGTGATTCGCGTTTAAAATAATGTAATTAATTGACCAAGCATTTATTGTAGCATCTATAATTCAGATAATTCTATCAACATAATTTATCACAACAAATTTATTTTATAAATTTATGACTGATTATTTTATTGCAAATAATATACTTCATAAAATTTATTTTATTTTAACATGATTAATTTTTTATTTAGTAATTATACACCAGAATCTGAATTATCAAGATATAATATTTTTGTTGATATAATTAAGAGACGATAAAAAAATGTTTTACTTGTACATTTAATAACAAAAGAATTTAAAAAAAACTTAGTTTAATTTTATGCGATAATAAAAAAAAATAAAAAATTAGAAACTTGAGTAGTCTCGAGTAGAATCTAGATTATATAAAACGTGAAAGTATAAACATACACATATATGTATATATGCGTGTGCGTGCGTGCATGCGTGCGTACGTGTGTGTGTGTGTGTGTGTGGGGGGGGGGGGGGTACACATATATATATACATTTCTTTTAAATTAAATATATTACGTAATTGGAAATTACTTACAAAGATATATTTTTATTTTAATTATTTTAATTCTGAATTTAGAATTAATTTTATTTTTTGTAAAATAACGTATTGTAATATTAAGATACAATTATTTTTCTATTGTTAAAATGTTTCTTTTTATCCAAAATAAGATTATTTATAACAGAAAATTATTTCAAAATTATGAAAAGAAGAGCATAAAAATTATTTAATAGAAAGTTCATATATAAGGCTTTACATGAACTTTAAAAAGACAAACATGGCTCGCAGAGTATTCTTGACAGCGAGATAAGATTTATCGTCTAACTTTATTTATATTTTAAAATGAAGAATCATATTACATTATACATAACAAGCGGATTAAAACGACATCCTTTGATGATTAACAAGTTCTAATATAAAGGAATTTATAAGTAAAAGAAGAGTTAGTTGAAGATTAGTTGAAGATTGAACAGAGATTAAAGTTAATCTACATAGAAACGGGAATGAAAAACATTGTCTAATGTGTGTTGGCATAATATTTACAGGAAATATTGTTTACTTGTTTATAAAGACAAAAATAAACGCTTAAATCATATTACATTGTACCTCTGTACAAGAACGAGAAAAACAGTTTTTACCTGAAGTTCAAATGATAAGTACATGTTTTGATATAAAGGAATTTAAAAAGTAGAAGAACAAGTGGATGAAATTGGCTAAGAGAATATTGCTTCACGATGCTGCTGAACGCTCCTTTGATCCCATTCTTCCTTGGTAAGCTAACAATATAAATACAATGAATCGAATTCTACATAGAGAGCCGAAAATTTTCGCAAATTTCTTTTGGATTATGGCCAGTCATATTTTTACAAAGTAAAAAGAAAATTTCATTTTGTTCAACTCGTAATTTTCTATATATAAAAAAAATACTAAAATTACGATCAAGAGCTTAGAAACTGCAATGATCTTTTTAAACTTTAAAACCCTCTTTTTCCATTAAAAATTTTATTTTAGCTAATCTAAAAAAAAAGGATATAATCATAAATTTTTGAAAGATAAATTATAAAATTAATTTTTGTGATAACAAATGACAATGTTCTATAAATATTGTATAACTAAACTTTTTATTTATTTATTTATTTAGGAATATTCGCAAATGTTTCAAAAGAATCAGATTTTGCTCCGGAATATTTATTCGAGGTGAACAAAACCGTGATAGAATATGGTAACATGGGGAAATTTTTCCAAGTTACACAATTAAGTTCTACAGTAACATGTCATCCCTTTTTGATGGAAACTCTTTACTGTGATTTACATAATGTCATGACCTCAAAGCATTCAAAGTTCCAAACAGTTACGTGGAAGAGATTGGAAGACAAACAGTCATTTAGAATGGATTTCAACTATTGTGGTTTACAAAGTTTATTACATCGCGAAAAAAATTACAAGGAAATATATCGCGGGCTTATTTCTGATATTGGTAGTCAATTCAACCTATTTTTTGATATAAGGAATGCATTAAATTCAAGTTTGGTCGAAAATGTAACGACATCATCTGGTACTTGCGATATCACATGTGATATAGATATGAAGAAGAATGCATTTAAAGAAACGAATTTCCAAATTAAACTGTTAACAGAAGATTTCTCTAACCAAAAAGATTCACGTGTATATATTATTAATAATAAAACAGACTGCACGTCATTGGGATTTCATGACATTATGATGGAATTGGAAATAGTGCGTATACATATATTTTTTTCCGTGTTTTAATTAACATTGATTCTTCCTTTTTTTTTACTGATATAAAGAAATTAATTATTGCATATCAGCTTGATTCTATATCTCTAATTACCCAGTAAACAAACTGTTCATAGAATATCAGCTGATTAGTAACAAACTCGATCAGAAAAATTCAGTAAATTCAGTAGATGCCACTTGTATTCGATTAAGCTTATAACGTTCTATCGACAGAGTCTGTCGACTTATGCTCATTTTCACCAATATAGATTAACTTTAATCTCAGTTCAACTTACTCTTCGTATTTTTTTAATCTTTAGAAAAAGTAAGTTGAACCGAGATTAAAATTAATCTACGTTGATGGAAATGGGCATTAATGGTTGCGTTCAATACAAAGTTTAAGTTTTGCAACTGTAAGATTCTTTAATGCGATTGGTAATATATTTATTAGATCCAGTAAGAAATGAAGAACAAAAATCAATCGTCAATTAAAAAATTTGTCAGAATTCGTTAGTAGATTTTTGTAAAATTCAAGCAGATGGACTTAACTGGAAATTCCTTTATTGTTTCAACACTTTCATTAATTTTTTAATTATAAAATCTTATATATACATACTTATATATGTATACTTTTTCATTAATATAAGTTTATTGATCCTAGTTATATGGTGTGTGTGTGTGTGTGTGTGTGTGTGTGTGTGTGTGTGTGTGTGTGTGTGTGTGTGTGGCGCGCGCGCGCGCGTGTCTAACTAGGATCAGCAACCTTATTAATGTGAAAGATATGAGATAGAGCGCAACAAAATTATGTGGTATATACATTATATGTATTATATGTATTTATTATTGTTTCACAGTAATTTATAATAACCTGAAAAATTAATTCTTGCAATATTTATTTAAAACAATTTTCATTTCTTTAATCAAACTATAATTTTTTTTTTATTTAAATTTTGCAGACAGGATGTACCCACATGATAAGTGTAACTGATAATAAATTAAAAATATTTACCAAATTAGAGCATGTAGAAACTTTAAAAAACGTTATGGTTTATGCAATATATGTAAATCTGATTGACATTAAATCTCGAAAAACAATATTACTTAGTGATATGTCATTAAATAATTGGACCGTACCTTAGATTAAATCATACTTCAAAAAAGAAAACTGCGTGATATATTTATATTGTATTTCTATTCATGCAAATTCTTTTTGAAGGATTTTATATATAATTTTTTTATACTAAATAGTTATTCAAATTGAAATTGTATAAAGACGTTATTTAATAATTTGGCAAAATTATTAAATTATTAAAACATTTGGTAAAATTGACTTTCTTCTTGTACTTATATCAATTTGTCATAACATCTATTATAAATAAACTCTGGTGTCTTTTATAATCCCTACACTGTATAGTGAGAATGCACATGTGCTTGTTTTCGATTGAAGATGATGTAATTTATCCGAGTTATATTTGGAATTAATATAAAATACTTCTGCAATAATTATTTGTTAATTATAATAACAATTATTTGTTAATTGTAGTAATAAAAAGTTCATTATGTTACAAATTTATGGCATTTATTACTTTATTGTAGAAAAGATATTTCATGAAACTCAATTCGCTTTAACGTGATTAATTTCATTCAACATTATGTATCGGAGAATTATTATCTTTATTTACATGTTAATTATGATCTTTATTTACATGTTAATTAAAAAATAATATTTTCAGTAGGAAAATTTTAGAAATGATTTTACTTATACTTAAAAACAAATGGATTACGAGTTAATAATTTTATGCGACGGATGTAAAGAATAAATAAAGAACATAAATGGAAAAATTATAATATTACATACAAATTGCAATTATTAATAATAAAAAAATAACTATAGATATTATGCATTTTTTCCATTGCGAGACTATTGCCAAAAAATTTGAAAATGATTTTTTAACATGTACTACTTGTACTACGAGAACTTTGTCAAGGTGATCATCTATAAGATGTAAAATCGATTACCGACTAACATTTAAATATATACAGAAAAGTTATAAGATATTAATATTTATTATAAAATAATAGAGAGAAACACACATATTCAAATATAACAATTTATCAAATAAGGTTTCATAATGTAACAATTAAATATTAATTTACCACGGCTAATTACGATGTGACTCCGACATCGTTTATAGTTACAATACAGGACGAGTTCTCAATTAATCTTAAATCCTTCCAAACATTAATTTTTCGAGTTTCACCATGTAGCCTTGTTATCAACAATCTCGTGGCTGGTATATTTGCCCAATATTTTCCCAATGCCGGTGTTATGTCAGCAGCATTCGTTTGTTCTGAAGAATTCCATTGAGTGAGTAAATTCACAGTAATTACAACTGCTTGGTACTCCATCGTGAGGAATCGACATACTTCGGCCAAATCTTGAAGCTCGTAAGTTGTCTCGTTATCACTTTGTTGCCCATTTCGCGGTACCTTGAAGAAAAAATGATCGGTTATTAAAAAAATACGAGTACATTCACATATAAATTAATTTCAGTAAAATTAATATTATAATATATATTAATATTATAGTAATATGAATTAATGTAATATTTTAATTATCAAATAGATAAGAAACGTTATTATTCCTTAATTTTGTGTGTGTGTTAATCGTATTATTTTTAACATTGATATAACAGTAATGTAAAGTTTAATCAATAATATATTTGGAATATTATACAGATCACCAATAAAAATTTGTTTACTAAGGCACCTTGAAAATAATTGCTGGTAAAGAATCGATGATCACGAGGAGGACCTTTCTTTCTTCAAAAGATGCTTCATTTTGCTCCTGTTTACAAAGAGTTACCGATTGTCGTAAAGCTTGTATCAATTCGTGGGAGGAACGCGCTTGATAAATTTTTGTACTGCGCAACGCATCTTTTATAATCTGTAAGAAAGAAAATTGACTTTTAGAACTCACAATAAAATCAGTAGCATTTTAAAGATAATAATTAATTATATAAAAAGTTATTTTTCAAATCTGTTATTTATTCAATTATTTATTTGTTTCTTTTTAAGCATTACTTTTTCAATCACACTGATATAATTGTGGTAGATATACGCACCGATATTTTTATTGCTATTTGCAGTTAATGTTATTACCTTTTGCTCGAAATTTCTCGCTCTCATAATTCCCTCGTATCGCAACCTGCAGAAATCTTTCTTTGTGTCAAAATACCACACAATGCCGCCCGACTGGCTAGCGACGTTAGCTGCTATTGTGAAACATAATTGAGTCTTCCCGGAGGCCCTTGGTCCACATAATTCGCATAACTGTCCGGGATATAAGCCACCTCTCAGCAATTCGTCCAAACTATTCCAGAATGAGACATTATTAATTAAATATCAAATACATTCTCTCTTCTTCCTCTGTGTAAAATCATTGTACGATTTATTTTTTAAGTTTCTCACATCGGATATTTTTATTAATCACAATTCAATTAAGGAATAACTTGTAAACGTACCACGTTACGCTGGTCAGAATTACATTACGTTCTATCGCAAGGTGTTGCGTTGCATTCTTTTTTACGCCACCGAATTTCTTCAATATACAGTGCTTCATTTGCAACACATTCTGCAAATAATAATATTTAATTGAATTTATGAATATTGAGTAAGTCAAACAACTATCTTCCATCAATCTCTTTTTTTTTTATTATATATATTTCATTCAGTTTTTCCGAATAAAAGTTAAATAAATTAATATCCTGGTGAAAAAAAAGTTTATAAAAAAGTGCAGGAAAACTACATAGATTGAGATAAGATCTTAAAAATTCTTAATTTTTCGTAGATATTCATAGTGGGATAAAGGTGGTGTTGTTTGAGGGTGAAGAATTTTTTAAGTTCTTTTCAAACAAATAATACTCGTCCCACTACGAATATCTATAAAACATGAATGTATAGTCTACAATGGACAATAGCAGTAGTGGATTAAGCAGTAGGCGTAAAAATCAACTAGTCATAGTCGAATGTAAGCAGGATAATCAACTGATTAATCGATTTATATGTCTACTTCTTAATCCACTATTGCTACTGCTCATTGTAGATCACGCATAATAATTTCTCATCTCAATTTATATAGTTCTTCGTAAAAGTTTTTCCGTCAGGATATCGATTGAAATATACTAATTTTTAAATCAAATGTCTTATCATTAGAATTATCATTGAATTAATTGAAGCAATTACAAATGTGTCATTTTTAAAATCATTAATGCCCGTTTTTACCAATGTAGTTTAATTTTATTCTCGGTTCAACTAACTTTTCATCTTTTTCTAGTTCCAAAAAGAGAAAAAGATGAAGAACAAGTTGAATCAAAATTAAAATTAATTTATATTGGTAGAAACAGGCATAAAAAAGAAAATGTCCCAATTTTTTCCATCTATTTCAATTCTTGATGTCTAAAAACGACGCTTGTTCTCATAATATTCATAATTTTCAAAAATGTTTTTACTTTATCTTTTATTAATGGGATACACACTGTATGCAAAAGACCGGTGATATTCGTCAATTTAATTGGATTCGTTGAGATAAAATCCACGATTGTGACAATGTTTCTCCGCCGCAAATTCTCCGTTACAGTCTCCGATAAACTTGGATGAACATCTGTGTTCAGTTTCACCATTTTTCACCTTTATCGAATATCTGCAAAATCGAAAAATCAGTTCAAAAATCTTCCCTCCAGAAAGAATCTTATAAAAATGTAATATTTATAGTGGTCAATTTATGTAATCATTTAACAAATCTTTTAATATTAATTAAAAATAAGTGATTAATTGGCCAGTATTAGTATTCAATTTCTGTAAGGGTAGAAAGAAATTTTATAACAAATTAAATCTATTAAGTCGAATAATTTTTTAACTCAACTGTAAAAACCTTTAAATTAAAATTTGAGCAAATATAAGAAAGAATATTTAAATTCAAAATTTAAAATGAAAAAGGTATATGTTTGATATTTGTCGATAGCGAGAGAGAGAGAGAGAGAGAGAGAGAGAGAGAGAGAGGCAACATTTATTATGCGCTCTGAGATAAGTTCCTTGAAGAGCTAAAACCAATATATTGAAAAGATTCAATTAAGTATACATCGAAAAAGATCAAATTCTGAAGAAACAATATACAAAGATTTTAAAAGAAAAATGAACAAGCATATTCCATAAAGATAAGAGAGAGAGTTTACGTGAGTAATAAACACACATATAGAAAACTAAGATGACGTACTATTAAACGTGGATAAAATATAAAAAGATGGAACATCTCAAAGAACATGCATTATTGTCGCAGAATTGAGAACTTATAGACTAATATTACTATATGTGTGTGTGTGTGTGTGTGTGGGTGTGTGAGAGAGAGAGAGAGAGAGAGAGAGAGAGAGAGAGAGAGAGAGAGAGAGAGAGTTCTAGAACAAAAAGTAGACAATTCATTACGCGAATTAATTTTCGAAAAGCGTTATCTCGCGCGCGCCCGCGCGCTACGCATCTTTAAAGCGTTCTTCCGGCGATATCGAGCGGCCCGGTGCCGCCAATCTGCACCAATCGAGACGAAGGCGCTGCGCAGCGCATCCAGTCATCCAGTGGCGTCAATCGTCTCACCTTGCCGGACGTGTCGGCTGTCGCACGTCCCGGCGCCGCGGCGACGATCGGGATCCAGGTTCCACCGAATTCCACCGGATTCGCGAGTCCTACCTCGTGACGCCTCGAAGAGATCGGCCAGGATGGCGATCGAGATTCCCGCGCACGAAAATGCCGCTCGCTGGCGGCGGCAGCGGTACGCGTTCGCACGCGAGGGACGCACGTGCGCGCACGAATCGACGATCGAACGGCGCACCGCCCGCACTCGTCGGCCCCGGCAACGCGAGACCCCGACACGACAGCACGCGGAAACGACGAGGATGGAGTGATTCGGGAGAGGATCGATGCACGGGTAAGTACGACGTTGTATGTGTCCACCTCCCAATTTACCGTAGCGAGACGAAGATTCGAGTCGGCCGTTTGCCACGTGGCGTGTACTTCAAAATCGGTGCACGGCTACATTCGTTGATGATTTCGTGCTTCGACCTTTACTTTCTGTACTCTTTTTCTCGGAAATTGCTCTTTCCTTTTTCCCCTCAATATTCAAATGTGAATGGCTTTGTTTCAAGCAAGAAAGATATAATTACTCCTTCTGCATTTTTTGGGAGTTTTCTTTGTTTATAGAATGAATCCGGAGCACTTTGAAAAAGAAAGAAGGCGAGAGAACGAGGTGTAAAAAGTGCAACCGTAATGAGATATTTGAATTTCTTGTGCATTTTTTTAAATTTTAAGGTGAAGATAAGAAATTTGGCAAGTCCAAGAGATAAGAAATCAATCAAACGGTAAATTTTAATAGACAGGATACTGCGAAGTAAGTTCGGTAAAAAAAATATCGGAATTAGTAATTAATTAACTATGAACATTCGATGAATATTCATTTTTTTTTATTGTTCAGTTGAGTAGCGATTATTAAATTAACTTGAAAATGGAGCAAAATTTTCTAAACTCCGAAAGAAGAAAAAGGAACTAAAGTTCTTATTCATATTTTACATTATACGCTGATTGTGCAAAATCACGTGTCCATTTGAATTCTTTTTTACAGTCATTCCTGTAAATAATTAATCACATAATCATAGGTAATTATTAACCGACAAAAATGAATTAATCGAATAAAATTGAAGTACAAATAATTACATGTATTCGTAGTTTTGGCAGAGATAACAGTGTATGGGCGTTTTTCATTCTTGGGCGAGAAAGAGCTCGAAATTGAATATCCATATTTAGTATTGCGCGTAATACGGGAGTGTAGGGAGTGCGATTAAAAAACGAACAGACCCGGGGATGTGAGTTAGCACATTTCAGCCGCATGTTCGAACGTACGAGCGGACCGGCCAATCACGCGACTCTGTCGATGCCACGTTGCCGCGCGCAACGGCCGCGGCAGGCCAATCGGAGGGGAGGCGCAACGCCATCTCTGCGCGATTGGCATAAATACTCGAGATTGGCTCGTTTCAGCCGCGGGCCAAAACTCTCCTCGCAGCCGTCGCCATGTTTAGAAGTGCGTACGCGTCCTTGGGCGTGCGGTGTGACGATGTATCATAAAATATTAGATATAGCTCATGCGCCGTATGTTACGTGAGGTACCCAATTACGAGTTGACCCACGCGGAACACGGGCGTGACGATCATTCCCGTGGATGGCGCACCTACGTCGCGGTAATTTGTGATTACATTATGGTAAGTCTTGGTCCGTCTCGGGGCCAACGCCAACATGGCGGACGAGAGATTTCCTTTGTATCGTACCGCGCGACTTCCCCACCCGTCGGCGCCGAGCGTCGTCGGCGAGGTCGTTTCCTCGCGTGACGCCCCTACAACGCCCGCGACACCGGACACGCGCGCGACCCGTCGTCTTTTCGCGCGGCTCGTCTCGCATTCGCGACGTATTTCATCACCGGCGCTCGCCTCGATATAGCACATCGCTCCCTTGATGTATGCACGAACGTACGACGCTATCAGATAGCTCCCTCGAATTTTCGGATTGTTTCGATTTGCCGATTCACGATAGTCGATTGACAATCCTCGTCGTTCGATGGTCTCCGTGGTTTCCTGATTATATTCTGTCGCCGTGTAAATTTTAAATTTCGCGAATGTATTCGATCGTAGAATGCATCTGTTCCTTTTTTTAACGCAAATCGTATAAGAAACGCCTTTTTCAAATTCGCTCTTTTTCTCGCATTGTCTTGATTAATCCTTATAAATGATCAACATTTTCTTAGAATGAACAAACTTGTCTAGTAGGCCGTTGCTATCGCTTCTTTATGTGTCGTTTAAAACTTTTCTTTATCTTTGTTGTTTCCTTCGATAATTTGCAATTAAATCACGCGGTTATTTTGCAGGTGCTCTGCGTGTTCTCGAAAGAATTTAAGTTGACATTAAAGTATGAGTTATGTTTGTTAAAAAGTATTTCTATTAAAATTTTCCTTTTTAATGTGCATACTTATATGAATATTTTTATGTTTACTTTCATTGTTTTTCTTTGCCAATTTATAATCTATGTTAATTAAACAAAGGTTGTGTGCATTTTATATATTATTTAAAAAATAATCTGTATATGTGTGTGTTGTGAATTGTAAATGTACTGATTTAAATAATTATTTTTTTTAAATACATGTTTATTTATATATAACAGTGAATGCATTATTCTCTATATTGCATATATTATCTTTTTTTTTCTATGTATGTTTTACATTTATATTATTTGGTTGGAAATGCCTATTTTATGTATTATAATTATTATATTTTTTTAAAAGGATGTTTCTCTACATTAATACTTTCCAGTTCTTTGTTTTTATTTTATTAATAATTAATAATCTTTCAGTTTATTTAACAAAATTTTTTTAATTGTTAGACTTTAAAATATTCTTTGAACTTTAAAATAATCTTAAAAAATAAATGTGTCAAAGGAATTAGAGTATAAATAGAATTTGTTTTTCCATTAAAACTGAAATATGCTTCCATATTAGAATATTTATAAGATTCAACATATGAAAATGTAATATTGTGTCAAAATAAATTCATTTTTTATTGTTGAGAAGGAATTCTTTAAAAAGTTTCTGTATTTATGTTTTGTATGATAAAATATGAATTTTTACGTGTTATTGTGAGTTACTATAATACAGTGTTACTTTTATCTTTTCAGCGTAACGTGCAATGAGTGATAAACAGGGTGCACCTATTTTACCACCCCTTAGTCGGGGTGCGGCTAATAATGGCGGAAATAACGGAAGTTCAGCTCAACAGACTGTCAGTCTGCAGCAAGTTCTCGCTACCGCTCAAGGCCTCAATGTGCTCGCTACTACCAGTGGGCAACAGTTTGTTATTACAACTCAGGTTCCTGGTTTCACACAGGTAAATGTTTATGTTTGTAATCAGAATTTGACTGCATATTGTGTTTCATGAAGTATAATATGTGTTACATTTTAAATAGCGAAAAATGATAAATATGAGATATATTTTTTCTCTCATCTAGCTTTATCATTTGTAATATCTTGATTAATAATTAATAATTTAATCATGATTGATAAATTTGACCTCCATTATTTCCGTTATTTGTTAATTATTAATAATGCTTAATAATTGTGATGATTGATCATTAATTAAGTAATAATTGGATATAATTGCTGAGGTTTATTTTAATCTGGATTATTTTTATTAAATATTACTGATTATCAAATTGATTTCATATTCAATAATTATTAATTTGTACACATTTTTGGCATAATTCTGTAATAAAAGAACTCCGCACTAATATGTACTTATATATATATATATATATATATATATTATAATTAATATAAATATTGCATATAAATAAAATTGGATCGCTATGAAAGGAATTTTTATGTATAATTTAGCTTATAATATGGTAAATAAAAGATATTGTAGATACAAGGCTCAAAAATAGATTGTTTTTACATTATGATATTGTATGATAAAGCTGCTCTATGTGAGCATCTTTACATCTTTGATACTTCATAGCTCAAAAACTATCCATTATTGAATCTTGTGATTATAACATCTTTTCTTGCACACACATTATAAGCATTAAAACTAACTCTTCTATTTCAAGATTCAATTTTATAATATAATTAATACGGCGTCCTTTCTTTTGCTTGTGTGAGTAGTACTTATGAACTTTTACTCCCAGGTCATATCGAATAATGCCACAACTAATGCGAGCGGAACGCAACAAGTTACAAGAATCGTTAACATCGCGGGTACGCCACCGCGCAACGCTGTCGGAATTGTCGGCACATCGCCTCCGACAGTGTCACGGCCACAGAACTCTACTAAGCTTATGCTGACAACGTCGCCGAAACTTGTACGCACTTCCATAAGCAATGTGTTTGTAGCGCCGACGTCATCGCAGGTATCATCGCCGCAGGTGCAGGTGCAATCACTTTCACCAGCGAGGAAACGGCTGAAATTGTCGGAAACGACGGAGAAACCGATTCCATTTGACGCCAGCGAATATCGTAGACGAATAATGGAGCATAAAATACGGCGGATACGCAGCGTACGTGAGAAGTATACGGAAAATGCATCGGAACTGTTCTTTCTGCAAACCGGCGGCAATATGATGGAGTATTATGCCTGGCGGAAGCGATCTCCGACGCCGCAGTTAGTACATTTTCTGCGTCAGCATCGACTCGACCCGGATGACGATGACGAGGATTTGACTGCGCCACTGTCATCGATACCAGAATTCTCACAGCTGTCTACTGTTACAACTACTGTCACCACTACTACGACCGTCACTAGCGCTATTGTCACCGCTACCACCACTGTCACAACCGTCACGTCCGGCTCCACAGTGGTCCAGGTCCCGAATCAAAGAGCGGAAGTTAAAATCGCTGGGGCGGGCGTCACGCCAGTAGCGGTGTCCACCACCCTGCCTGCTGCAGCTCTAGCCCAACTCAGTCAAGGTAATTATAAATACCCGTTAATTATGGAAATAAAAAGGTTTAATTCTTCATTACTTCTGAGCAATTATGATCTAATGTTTTCGTCGTAATACATTCAAACTGATTGATATTACATTAATATATCTGGATGGAAAACATGTATCATTATAATTGTGTGTGAATATTATATGTTATACTTCAAGCAGCAAGTCAATTCGATCTCAGATCGAAATGCGATGAATGTTCTGTTAGCATCCATAAATATTTCTTGAATTTTAATAGCGAAAATCGTGTTTGTTCTTTTCATTCAGTTCATTCGTACTTAAATATGCAGTCATGTTCCTCTATTTTAAGATGTACCAAAGAATTCTTTTCTATCCTAACATCTTTCTTTGATATCTTTTAATTTGTGTAGAATAAAGAATATTTTGTCTTTCACTCATTTTTTCACTCCTATGCAGAGGAAAACTTATATCAGATAAAGAAAAGCCTTAGAATACGGGTTCTCAGAATAGAGAAAATCGACTGAATATTGTTGCAGCTTTATTGGATCACGACGTCATAAGCGAAAATAATAATCCTGTTCTCTCACCCTATACGTTGAAATAGATACTCTTTCTCCTTCTACCACAATTCAATAGATTTGTAATTCGATTTATGATATGTAAAGGAATTTTTCAAAAATATGATTTTATATAATTATGAAAGTTATAAATATTATTACAATTTAAGCAATAAATTTCAAATTTATTTGAATACACATTTTTCATAATAACTCATCTTTCTTGGATTGTTATTCTACCTATGTTCACTTATATTTTTATTTAGATACGTTTTCTTTATAATTAAGAATTTTTTTTTTTTAATTCTTACCGTTATTTTATCTATCGTACATACCTGTATTATCTATCGTATATTAATTAATAAAAAAGAATAAATAAAAATACCAGTTATAATTTAGATCCTTGTGTTAGAGAATTCTTATCATTTAGGAAAATATTATTTGCGGAGTAAATTTTTCTTCATTCATGTTACTTTAATAACGAATTGAAATTCGGTTTGTATACGGAATAAATGATGCACTTAGGACAAGTACCAGGTAGGCCTCAAGGGGGCCGCCATGGCATGGTGTTTGCCTTCCGAGCGGCAATCCAGTCTTCGCCAGTCACCGTTCACCCTCCATCCGCTTCCACCGTAGCACCCACGTTCATTATAGGTGATTACCGCAGATCGCCTGTCGTTCGTTTCTTCGTATCTTTAAGCCGCTCCATATTAGTTTTGCTTCCAAGCAGTTTAGATATTGCAAGCTCTTGTAATAAACGATTATTTTTACGCGTTATATACTTCCGTATTATACACATATGTTGTACTTCTTGACTTAAACTTTTGGAACGATGATCAGGAGAAACGCTCGCCAAAGAACTGTCTGCTACTACTAAAGCTATTAAGTTGATGTAGAACTCTACTGTCATCTTATAATAACATCTAATTTTTTCATGCTATAACACTATACGTCCACTGTATGCCCATTCTATAGAATGAGTCAGACAAGTGTAGCATGTTATATAAAAACTACGATGATGTGGTGATTGACCTGATCATTATTAAATGCAGACGCATGTTTTTTTTTATTTGAAGCTTGGTGAAGAATAATATATGTCTATCGTTATGCCATATACATATATGTATGTACACATACATCTTGATGCAAATGGAAGATTTATTTTAATTGGAGTACTTTGGAAGTGTTTTCGTTTCTTGCTTTTAATTGTTGTCAATGTCGTGTAGATACGTTTCTTGCCTGTTCTGTGGAATTATGTTGGCAAAAATATTCTCCGTTTATCTATTAAAATCGTTATTCGCGTGAAATGTATTAATATTTGTCTACTTTTGTTAATTCAAAATACAGAAGTATTTTTAAATATCGTAAAATGGGGTAACTTTGACACAAATTTTTCTTATACTATTGTTCAGCAGATTGTTCTAACTAATTTTGATCTAATAATGTAAATAGTAATATTAATTAGAGAATAACTTATTTATAATTCATGCTTTTGCGTTAAATAAGTTAAATAAGAATCGTTAATTGTTTTGATAATAACATAAACAATTTTCTTGAATATTATGAATTAAAAATTCCTAAATTCCGATAAGTATATTTACTTAAAGACTTATAACAGATATAATTAATATAATAATATAATTTAATTTCTTCTTGTTCAATCTGCTAAATATTAGTGTTAATGGATAACTTCAACTTACAATTTGGAATAAGTTGATTAAATCTCAATTCTCTTACTTTCTCTGTTCATTTATTGCCTCAATTTTCTTGTTCTTGTGCTAATTTCTTTTTTACACTATTCGAGAAAAATTTGACCTTTTTTTTTTTAACAGAGTGTCACTGACTGCAAATTTCTTAGCTAAATTTTTATCACGTCATAATTTAAAAAAATGGCATCAATGGTGCAAAAAAAGTATTATTTTGAAGATTTTTATAACATAACATCGGTAGCTTTTTTTTCTCAATTTTATTAATGCCATGTTAAAATATCAACTTCTTTTTTAAAAATTCATTTTGTTTTGTTTTGATATGATTTTTCAAGTGCAATTTGAAAATAACTTTTCCTATACAATATATGAAAAAAGCATTTTATTTTATTTTAATTCTACATTATGTGGGAAGGAAGAAGTGCTTGTACACTTATAATCAGATCATACTAAATAAAAAAAGTAGTATAAGATTGACAAAATATAATTGCAGGAAGGTATAATCTCTAATAATTTAAGAGTATACTTAATTTTAATCAAAATTACCCTATCTTACCCTAATACATGTGTTGCTGTCGCAATCAGCTCTTTGATTTATCTTTTGATTAATGCATATGAATATTATCGTTCACATTATTTATTATCATAGCAATCTCAAAGTGGTGTTATCATTTTAGGTGGAACGTCGGTGGTTACAGACTCGTCGAAACTGACGACCACGGCCGTGAGTTCGGTGGTAGAAAAGTCTTCGTCGTCTATAATCACTGTCGCCACCCCGAAATCGTCTGTGACTACAGCTGCGCTCAATAGTCCACAACCTATCGTTAAGCTCGTTAAGTTGTCTACACCCACTACCATAACTACTTCCTGTGATATCTCGAACAATCAGGAGCAAATTGTGGAAAAAGCTAAGCAGGTAATTGCCACGACTATTTTAATACTATCTTTTTTCGGTGTAAAAAAAACAAATATTTATAGTGTCTTAAATATGTCAGCAACCACTTGTAAGTTTGATTGGATATAATTTCTTATAGGTTTTTTTTATAAACGAATTATTTACTTAAATAATTTTGTTTTTACTAAACATGTTTAAAACAATTTTAGTTTATTAAATTATCTTTTATTGAAATAGTAATATAACTATATTAAATAATTAATTTAGTTTATTAAATTATCTAATTTGTACATATTTATTTCTTTTCGAATAAGTCAGTCAAATGTATAGTTTATATATTTAAATTTTATGTTATATGCTAATGGCTGCAATTATCTGAATATAGGAGGCGTATGTAATGCAAAGGATTGCAGAACTGCAACGCGAGGGATTATGGTCGGAACGGCGATTGCCCAAGGTGCAGGAACCAACTCGAACCAAAGCCCATTGGGATTACTTGCTAGAGGAAATGGTCTGGTTGGCCGCTGACTTCGCTCAAGAACGTAAATGGAAGAAGGCAGCGGCGAAGAAATGCGCGAGAATGGTGCAAAAGTACTTTCAGGAGAAGGCGATTCAAGCACAGAAGGCTGAGAAATTGCAGGAACTTCGACTGAAGAAAATTGCCAGCTTGGTCGCAAAGGAGATTAAAACTTTCTGGGCAAATGTTGAGAAAGTAAGTGAAAAGCTAAAGTGTATACATTTAGAAACATAGATAAATTAAGCAGTTTTTGTATTAACTTAATTCTATGAAAAATTGTTTAATTTTTTTATTTTATAATTACTTTTATGAAAGTTACATTGATTTTATAACTTTATTCTACCCCACACTAATTAAGCCGGCGTTTTTGATGCATCTTTATCGGAAGCGTGTGCTCGTTGTGGGAATAGCAAAGTCTGCGTATTGTGTATGGTTGTTTGGTTTTCTTTTAAATTCAACCAAAGAATTAGCGCAGGACATTCGTATTAAATTATGCTCAATTGCGTAAACGCAAAACCAAAAATATAAATGGATGTGAATTTATAACATTTCTTATTAATAATTAGCAACAATATTTAGACATTAATCCATTTACATGTTTTAAAAACGAGTTTTATACACGCGAAATAAATGTGGACAGAATTATCAAAATAATAACTGCAATATTAACAGTTGGTGGAGTATAAGCAGCAAACGAAACTTGAAGAAAAACGAAAGAAGGCATTGGATCAACATCTAAATTTCATTGTGGGTCAAACAGAGAAATATTCCACATGGCTGACAGAAGGTCTCAACAAGACCGACGGTCCACAGAGTATTCCAGCTTCCATAAATAGTTCACGTATCTCTTCGCCAGTCCCAGTGGGAAAATGTCATTCTGATGGTACGTTTAACTTGCATAATAAAATGTAATTAATTTTTATTTATGTTAATGAACATTAATATGCATGCAATCAATAAAACACATTAATTAATAATATTATTAATATGTAATATTATTAATATTCATTTCAATGCTATTATTGGAAATGTAAAATTATTGCATGATACAATTTAAATTACAGAACTTTAATGTTATACAAATATTTTACAGTATTTTATAGTTATATACGACATATGTTTGCATAAATAATTTAATTTTATATAATCTATTACAGAGGAATTCCAGCCAAATCAGAGTTCAGACGATGACGAGGAGACCATAGCTAAAGCTGAAGAGGAAATGAAAACGACTAATCACAAAGAGGAAGTTGAGTTGTTAAAAAAAGAATCGGAAATACCTTTGGAAGATCTTTTGAAGGACTTACCACCAGATTATTTGGAGCATCGAAACAGAAGTCTATCGCCGAATAATGCAACGAATGAAGAGGAACAAATTGTACGTTTTTAATAAAATAAATATTTGCATATACAAAAATTATTTTTATATAATATTTATAGATATTGTAAATTAATAAAGATATTGAAATTAGTCATTTTTTTTAATTAGTTATTTTTTAGTTATATAATGACTTTCAATTTTGGAAGTTCTTAAATCATTGTCTATTTAAATATTTATCAAAAGATAAAATGAGATAATGATTTTTTTGGTTATAGGAAAATGAAGAAGCAGTTGATGCAGATGCTGATTTCGTCGTAGCGTCTGGTGAATCCACGGATGAAGAAGATACAATCATGGAAGAGGAAAGGCTCGAGGGAGAAATCGATCATAAGCGAGAACTCGATGAACTTAAGGTACATAATTTTCTATTTTTCAAGAAATAACCAAGCAATTATCATAAATCGTTTTTGTCAGACTTAAATAAGGATGTGTTTGTTTAGGCTGATAATGAAATGTCTATCGACGAACTCGCGGCCAAATATGCTAATATGTCGGATGTGTTGATGGACGAGGATGATGAGGCTGAAGGTAAATTTTTTAGATTTTTTTTTAAAGTTCTTTTGAAAAATATTTTTATTATTTCTATAAGTTCAGTTTAAACACGCTTTTTTGAATTGCGCATTGCTTGAATACCTTTATAAACGATTTAAATCAGTTTTTTTTTAAATTATTATAAAAAGCTTTAATTATTATCTCGATTATCATATGAAAGTTTTTATTATATAAAGATGCTTTTGTTTGTAAATAATTTATTACAGTGATGATACTACTACCATCAACTGACAGTATGAGATATTTGGTTTTCATTTATCTCATATTATCCGTGCTGTGAAATGAGGCATTTGTCTGAGAAAATTGCGAAAATTATATATTATTATTGAAGGAATACAGTAAATTATATTTAATCAAGTATTTTCTCTTACTTAGGTACGGATAAAGAAAGTAGCGAACGAGGAGTACAGGAGATCGAAGACCAAATAAGTAGCAACGAGAGTGAAAGCGAAGAGAGTGATCACGATAGTGATGAAGATGAGACTCAGACTCAGAGCGATCCCGAAGCGGATGTAGGACTTCAATCGCTTCTCGAAGATCCTTCCGCGGAAAAACAATTGGAGAATAAAGTAAGTCTTTTTTATCTTACATAATATGTTAAAATCTTATAATTATTTTATATTGAATTTTATTATTTAAGTTTTTTAATTATTGTTACATTTTTTAATTCTTTCTATTGTTACTATGTATACATATTTTTTTAATTTGTCACATGATTGTTTATTCGTCATAATAGGTCGCAGAAGATGATCATTCGGACGCTCATAATGAAATGGATAACGTTGCTGCGTTGGCTGAAAGCATCCAGCCTAAGGGAAATACGTTACTTACCACTAGTGTAAGTTTGCTTGCGTTTATACTTTATTTTGTTTTATTAAATTCCTATATATATACTATATATATAATACTATATATATAATATACTATATATATACTATATATATACTATATATATAATACTATATATATAATATATAAATATATATAATATATAAAAATGGTATATATATCTATATATGTATATTATATATATAGAAAAATATATATAGAAGAATGTATTTTTTTATTAAATTAGATGCTTTTTTTATCAAATATTTCAATCGGCAAATTTTTGTTTCTTTATTTTAATTTTTATTTAGACATTAAGAAATTTAAACGATCCTTTCGATCCAAGGTGGTGAAGCAGCAATTTTGCTCATCATCATTTACGAAAGGAAAATTAACAGTGATAGTTTTTCCATGAATAAATATACATATTTTATTCTCGAAAATAATCACTACAAAATTACAAAAATTTATGTATAAAATATTTTACTGTTACATTAATTTTTAATTTTTTTTAAATAGTGTCAATAATGTTTTAATAAATAAATTTCAATAAATCTTTGAACGAGGAGAACTTTTTTCAAACTAAATATTCCAAACTGAAAATTAGTTAGATGCAAATAAATAAATAACGTTATCTGAAAATATGAATATGTATAACAAATTGGAAATATGGGAGAATTGTAATAGACAATTAAATAAAAATTTTTCAATTTTTGCTAAAACAAATAAATTCTAAATTGATCGGAAAATCTTGTAAAAATTAAGTTCATTGTATTATTTTTTTATATAGTTTCTATATATATTTTCTTTTTGTGCTTTCATTTACATGGTATGTATTTTTAGGTTGTCACTAAAATACCTTTTCTTCTGAAACACTCTCTTCGCGAGTATCAGCACATAGGATTGGATTGGCTTGTCACGATGTATGAAAGAAAGCTAAACGGCATTCTGGCTGATGAAATGGGTCTAGGTAAAACTATACAAACTATCGCGTTGTTGGCACATCTGGCCTGCGAGAAGGGAAACTGGGGGCCACATCTTATAATCGTGCCGACTTCTGTGATGCTCAATTGGGAAATGGAATGTAAAAAATGGTGTCCTGGATTTAAAATATTGACATATTACGGCACACAAAAGGAAAGGAAACAAAAGAGAACAGGTAACAATGTGACGCATGTACCTTCTTAAAAATATTTGATTTGTTAACGTTGTTTGAAATCTAAAAATTTTTTCATTTAAAATGTGATCAATATATATACTTCGAAACGAAAATGAAGATACTGAGTATTAAAAGTGCAACGCAAACAAACTGACATCGTAATTTTTTTTTAAGGTTTTACTACAACTATTTAATTATCTAATTCAAAATCTATATAATTATGTGTGAATGATATTAAATAATAAAATTTTATAAAACATTTCTTTTATATAAAACTACTTTTTTGGTTTATGAGTAATTATAATTTTACTCGCTGCCGACAACAGACATTGATTCAACCAAAGCGGCAATGTCTGTATTATTAAACAGCGAGATAGCAAAATTCTCCATTAAAACTCGCGTGTCAAAAATCGATCATTGTCTGACATACGAATCCTGTCTGAAGAAACAATTAACATTTATTACTTTATTAATTACAATTATAATTGTTTGAATGTTACATGAAATGTAATATTCTCTTCTTTGTTTATAGGTTGGACAAAACCAAATGCCTTCCATATATGCATTACGTCCTATAAATTAGTAATACAAGATCATCAAAGCTTTAGACGGAAAAAATGGAAATATCTTATCTTGGATGAGGCGCAGAATATCAAGAATTTCAAGTCGCAGAGGTGGCAGTTACTTTTAAACTTTCAGACACAACGGTAACTAAATTATAATAAATATCTGTTATAACACACACATGCATACATCATTGTCGCATGTTCGAAGTTACGTTAAATATAGCAATTATATTCATACTTTCATGTCCATGTCAATGTAATTTTAATCTCAGTTTAATTTATTTTTTATCGTTTTCTGGTTTTAAGTATTAGAAAAAGGTAAAAAGTAAATTAAAGTCTAATTGTGTGTATATAAATAATTTTATAATTGTAATTATATATAACGTTTAAAAGAAATTATATATTTTATAAATATATATTTCTTTTATATAAAATTCCGCCTTTTTCATTTATACATAATTGTAATTTTGCTCGCTGCCGACAATAGGCGTTAATCTAAAATAATGACGTCTGTATTATTAAACAGCGAGATAGTAGTTCTCCATTAAAACTCGTGTGTCAAAAATCGATCATTGTCTGACATACGAATCCTGTCTGGAGAAACAATATATTTATTATTTTATTAATTATAATTGTTTGAATGTTATATAAAATATAATATTCTTTTTTGATTCGTAGGATTAATTTTAATTATTAAAGTTAATCTAATGTTAGAAATAGATATAAAATAGCGCTATTTACGACTTGAAAAATATTAAGTCATTGAGTATATTAATTTTTTTCAAAATTTTTTGAAATTCTTAATTCTTAAACTGTAAAAAATTTATATTGATTTTCTTAATAGTTACAAAATTTGAGTTCTGACTTATATTGATTATTGAATTTTAATTGGAAGTAATGAAAACTTTCATACTTAAATCAAAATTGAAATGTCACTGTATCTTTTCGATTTATTTGTTACAGGAGATTACTTCTTACTGGCACACCCCTTCAAAACAATTTAATGGAACTATGGTCGCTTATGCACTTTCTTATGCCTAATGTCTTTCAGTCGCATCGTGAATTTAAAGAGTGGTTTAGCAATCCTGTAACAGGCATGATCGAAGGAAATAGCGAATACAACGAGAACATAATCCGCCGTCTACATAAGGTCTGTACGTAGTTTTTTTAACTTTTTATCATTTTTTTTTGTCTTTTTCTTTTGTAATTTAATTTATAAATACATTACCAAAAGAAATTACATTTCATATAATGTTGTTCAACATATGTATATAGAAATATACCATATATATATATATATATATATATTTATAATTTTTTATAGTAAATTTAATATCTAATAAACATTCTCCGTAGGTGTTGCGGCCTTTTCTTTTAAGACGATTAAAAACTGAAGTGGAAAAGCAATTGCCGAAGAAATATGAGCACGTAGTTATGTGTCGTTTGTCAAAGCGTCAGAGGTTTCTGTATGATGACTTCATGTCGAGGGCCAAGTAAGTGAACTCTTTAACGTGTATTTTTGAAATTTAAAAGCTTTATTCTAAGCTTTGGAAATAAAAAAAAATATTTCTTGGTAATACTCCAGCTTAGGACCCTCCGCCCAAATGACCTTGACATACGCTGTCAAGGTAACTACCCTGAATAATCTCTAACAAGTTTTAGCCGTCGCTCGTTATTCGTTAAAAAGTTATTAACAAAAAGTTATTTACAAAAATAATGTCTTATTTCAAAACTTTCATGCGAAGCGACTCTCAACCCACCTCCTCCTGCTTGGGGGCGCACGATTTCCAATTTCGCGTGGAAATCGTGCGTCCTCAAGCAGAGATGGGAGAGGCGGGGTAGAAGTCGCTTCGCATGAAAGACGTACACTCCCAAGTAGGGGGGGGAGATGGGCTGAAAGTTGCTTCGCGTGGAAAGTTGTAAAATATAAAGTTCTAAAATATACTTTAAAGCAGAAAACTTCTGTTTCATATAGTAGAAAAGAGATATTTTTTAAATTTCTTTTGTTAATAACTTTAACGAGAGATGACTAAAACTTGGAGGTCACTCGGGGTCATGATTTTGACAACATATGTTCAGGTTATTGGGGAAGGGTCCTCTAATCTGGAATTAGCTATTTCTTTTTCTACTAAAAATACTTTTTTTCTTAAAAATGTGACATTTTTTTATTTCTTTTAGAATATATGATACTCTTATATAGTAAATTATTTAAGCCGATATTTTTTTATAGTCGATTCTTATTTTACATTTAAGACGTTACATTTAACAGATCTTACATTTATGATAAGAAGTATGGTCGCTCTTCTATTAAGATGTCATAAATTAATTACAGAATTGTATTAGCACCCTAAAACATTACTTAAGTCGATCTTAAGATAAGACCTGATTATCGGTCTTAATTAGAGTATTACTATTATATATTATTATTGTATTTAATGATGACATATATTGTTAAAGAACGAAGGAAACACTCGCCAGCGGGAATTTGTTGAGTGTGATTAACGTATTAATGCAACTACGAAAGGTGTGTAATCATCCAAACCTGTTCGAAGTTCGACCGACCGTTTCGCCATTTCAAATGGAAGCAATTGAGTTCGTAACCGCTTCGTTAGTCTGGAGTGTGCTTGATTATGATCCCTTCAAGGTAAACAATATTCTGTGTTAACTGTGCTCTTATTTGATTTATTGATCTATATGTATACTGGAATTGAGAAAAACAATAATTTATTCGGTTTTTACGAATTGTGATTTGTCTTTGCAGCACATCGAATTGTCTAGTTTGAATCTTTTGCTGTTGAACTTGGAGTTGATGCTTAGTGCATTTGTTGCACATAGAGTGAAACGTCTGCGGACACCCAGAAAGTTAATAGAGGAGATAGATAGTCAACCAGAACTGCCACCGAGATGTCCGTCAGGCCGGATCAAGATCAACGTTAGATTATCGAATCAAGCGAAGCCACAGCAGCAACAGCAAACGCAGACTAGGCTAAAGAATCTGGCTGGCGTATTACCCACGCCAAGAGTGGGTACGTCCCCCTTGATAAAGTCATTAAATACCAGCCAGAGTGGTCCGGGACAAGGTAGGTCCAAGCTATCCCATCTTATCGCATTAGTCGTTAACATTTTCATGGCCATTTATTGGTAGCAAAATTACATTTTGCGAATCTCAAAATAGTATAAAATAACAGCAATAGTTAATTATTAAAAAAATAAAATATGTTATAAATTATGTATATTAATATCACATATTAGTTATAAGATATTAAATGCATTGAAAAATAATAAAATAATAGAAATGCAACTTTTTTTTATTATGTAAATAGAATTATGGGATTCCATATTTATTTGAGATTTTTACTAATACGATTCTATGGTAATGAAAAAAGAGATAAAATGTTTTTATTGGTCATGAAAAAATTAACGCAATGAATGGATGGAATTCGTTGCGAAGAAACATGAACAAAACCTTATCCCGGGCTACGAGGGAAGCATTTTAACAGGATATTGTACGTGATGCGATACAAGTATTTGTATAGCACTTGTAGTTTTGTGTCAATTAATATTAATTATAATAAAAAAAGAAAGAATTTGTTAAAATTGATATCGATACAATTAAATTATTAAAATTAATAAATAATTCAATTAGATGCATTGACGTTCGATGCGTACTTATATTTCATCAAATCTCTTTGTATAATATTTAAGAAATATCTCTTTACATTTATATAATTGCATAACTATTTCATATTAGCAAAGAAAAAAATTTATAGAATCACAAAATACCGAACATATCAGATTCGTTAATGCATTTGATTGTACGAAGTAAATTTTTAATTAGCTATTTTGTTTCTTTTA